AGGAATATATTCAAGAGCTATTTAAAGACGAACGGACTGAGATAGTATCTTATCGAATTACTTGAAAAGAAAAACTTAGATATGAGAGACATCAGGATCATTAGCGCTATCTCTTATAATCAGATCGCTATGGTAAAAGAGAACGTCTTTTCAAATGAAATACAGATAGAGAGGGGCGTCAGGCAGGGCTGTATCCTGTCTCCTACTTTGTTTAATTTGTATTCAGAGGAAATAATCCAGGAAGCACTAGAAGAACTAACTATGGGAATAAAAGTAAATGGCCGACCAATCAATAATATACGGTTTGCCAACGACACTATTTTATTAGCGGAATGTCTTGAGGATTTACAACAAATGGTTGACAGAGTGGTAGAAGTCAGTGAGGAAAACGGACTGTCCCTAAACACAAACAAGACACAATTTATGGTAATTACAAAAGCCCAACAGCGCCAAGAAAACATAACAATACATGGAGAACAAATTAAAAAAGTTGAAAAATATAAATATCTGGTACAATAATTAATGAAAATAATGAGTAAATAGAAGAGATTAAGGCAAGAATAGGTCAGGCATTCTTTCAACAAACTAAAAAAGTACTCTGCAGCAGGGACATTTCAGTTTCTTTAAAGATAAGACTTCTGAGATGCTACGTGTTCTCCGTATTATATTATGGATTGGAAGCTTGGACTTTAAAGAAAGATGTTTCGGACAGATTGGAAGCCTTCGAGTTATGGGCCTACAGAAGGATATTAAGAATAATGTTACGATTTAAATGTTATGGCGTAGAACTGTAAATATTTTATGACTAATTCTTTTGTATTGATTCTCGTAATTTCTAGGTCAAAAATCTACCTGACATCATTTGGGTCCCCTTCGCTAAACAAACAACAATCGAATTTTCTGGGGACGAGCCGATAAAGAACATACCAGTTTTGAGACCAGTCGCCGCTGTGTCTACGTCGAGATCGAGAACGGCATCGTATTTTCTACAACATTCTGTTTACAAGCTGGTTTCATATAAATACCGGAAGATTCTCATTGAGGAGTTAGTCATAAGAAGATCGGGAAACGCGATTTAATTGTAACGAAACGTAACATAAATAGTTGTAAAGTTAATTAATAAATTAGTAATTAGCTATCGTGAGTTTTAATAAATTAGAATATAGACAATAAATTAGAATAAAGACAAATAAATTAGAACAATATAAATATATTACAATAAGTTGGGTAGATAGAATCACGAATGTCGAGGTATTGAGAAGAATGGGAAAATATAAAGAGGTCCTAAATACAGGTAAAGTCAGAAAACTGCAATATCTGGGACATGTTATGAGGGGCAAGCGTTATAACTTGTTGCAATTAATAATGCAAGGAAGAATACATGGTAGGAGTCGCAGAAGAAGACGCATCTCCTGGTTGAATAATTTGAGAGCTTGGTTTAACTGCATTTCTGCTGACCTCTTTAGAGCAGCGGCGTCGAAAGTGCGAATTGCCATGATGGTTGCCAACCTTCTTAGAGGAGATGGCACGTGAAGAAGTGCTTGGCGGAGGAAGGCGATAAATAGAAGCGACTGGAGACAAATTCTTGAGGAGACTAGTCGTTTTGTAACATCTCATACTAGACATTTCAACTGTCAAACCTGTCTATACAATAATGACGAAAAAAGGTTTATTTTTTACTAATTTGATAGGTCTATATTATCATATTTTCGAGATGCGCTTGAACTTTAAATTTTAGTTTCCTATGGGTCTGATAAGAGATAATAAAAAAAAGGTTTGCAACTTAGTTTTATTATAATTTATAACTTATAAAATAGAGTGTCAAAACTATATAATAAATAAACCAACGTGCCAAACTGAATGTCTTTATCTAATAATTGATCATAAGAAATAGAAAATCAGCTAGTTTAAGTTAATTATAAAATGTTAGCGAAGCATTATGGTATAGCATTTTGAAAAATTTTCTTATAATCAATTATCCTTAACACTACGACTAATATAACACAGACAATTAATTATTTATACATATATATTTATATATTTATATATATATTAATATATATATATATATATATATATATATATATATAATATATATATATACAGTATTGGAAGATTTAAAACGGAACATACGGATTATTAATACAATTATTAAGATCCCCTGACCTGCAATTACCCAGTGTAAATTTCAATATAACGTCGCGATGTCTTATAATTAATTCATTTGTTCGACTGGATTGCTACTCCTTCGCGATTTCTAGTAGCGTATTCGGCAGGTGTACGTCGACACTGTTGTCTATCGTCCACTGATTTTCTGTGTTTTTGTGCAGATAATAACAATGTTTTATTAATAACAATTTTTTTGTGTTCATTAGATATTATTTGAATTGGTTAGTGTATAGTTTAATATATTTATTATTCCAAATATTGTTGATAATTTAAAATTTAAAAGGATGTATATGATACATCAAAATCTACAGATTTTTGCGAAGGTATCTATCGATTTGGCAACAGTCCCAAGGAACATCACTGGCCGAGCAAAACAAATACATGCCCTTTGCTTTGCTTCTCATTATAACGCCATAAGCTGAAATAAAAGTAGTGTTTCTAACCATAAACCATGTATACAAACAAAGAAAAAGTACAAATTTTAAAATGGTATTTTGGGGGCAACTCGTACCGTGATATTATAAATTTATTTACTTGTGCGTATGAAGATAGGCCAATACCGACACAATCAACTATTAGTCGTATTATTAAAAAATTTGAATCGTTTGGTTGTGTACAAAACTGTCAAAAATGTACGGATCTACCACGAGAGAAAATAATCAACGAAGTTAGGCAAAATAGGGAAATTGATGTCTGTAGTGTTGCTGAAACTAGTGATCCTTGTTCAAGCAAAACTATTGCTGAAGAAGTTGACATGAATGATAGGACTGTCAGGAATATTTTGAAACGGAATGGTTATCGTTGTTTTAAGGTTTCAACAACTCAAGAGTTATTAGCCGAGGACAATTTCAAGCGTATGGAATTTTGTGAACTGATGATGAATAAACAAAATGAAAGTGAACATTTTTTAAAAAACATTTTGTTTACCGATGAATCGACATTTTCGTTACATCGGAAACATAATCCTTCTATCGTACGATATTGGTCTCGGCATAATAAACACTTGAGTATTCCAGTACGAACACAGTATCCCCAAAAACTTAATGTTTGGACAGGTATTTTGGGGGATTATATCGTCGGTCCATTTTTTATTGATGGTAATTTAACGGGAAATAAATATTTAGAATTGTTGCAAAATCAAATTATTCCAGCAGTTCAATTACTTCCTGTCAACTTTGACGATATTTGGTTTCAGCAAGACGGCTGTCCTGCTCACAATACACGAGCAGTTCAAAATTATTTAGAAACCATTTTTGGAAATAAATTAATTTCTTCTCGTGGTACGATCAAGTGGCCTCCCAGATCACCAGACTTATCCCCAAATGATTTTTTTCTTTGGGATATTTAAAAACAAGTATTTATCGACATGGTTTTAAAAGAGCCCGAAATTTAGCGGAATTGAGGGACAAAATAATTCATCTTTGTGGAAGCATTAGACCGGAACTGCTCAGGGATATGAGACTATCTTTGTACAACAGATTTGGTTATTGCTCCGCAGAGAGAGGTGGAATATTTGAACCTCTATTACGTTGAATTTTTGTTTTTAATATTATTATGTTACTTTTGGAATTCGTTTTTATTTTAATTTTTAGAAATCTACTTTTTTTTATGCCATTATGGCAATAAAATATAACAATTTCTTTTAATAAAATAATATTTTAATTCCATATCTACGTAATATTGTAGATTTTTGGCGCTTTGAGATATAGCCCCTCCTGTATTCCGTTTTATACTAGCGGCTTGGCGAGATGCAAGATTTTATTATTCGATGATCGTTTGTGTTTGGTAAGGTGCGCACGTGCGCAGCAGTCGAAAAATATCGACTGGAGAAGGAGTCCAGTCGAACAAATGAATTAATTATAAGACATCGCGACGTTATATTGAAATTTACACTGGGTAATTGCAGGTCAGGGGATCTTACTAATTGTATTAATAATCCGTATGTTCCGTTTTAAATCTTACAATACTGTATATATATATAATATTAATAATAAAGTACCAGATAATAATGCGTAATTAAAGAGGCCCAGGGTTAGTCCAAGCATACATATTTTTGCTATACTTTTAACTCTTGAGTTTAAGACAGGCCTCTTATACCAGAGCACAAAAGATTTAAGTTGTGTATGTAGTACGACGGTATTTTTATATGGTTTATTACTTGTATTAATGAAATGATGTATCAACGATATCGATAGAGGGCGGGGCAAATTCTTGTCTTAAAGCATTGTGCGAATATGGCAAATTTTTTAATTTTCATATGTTCAAAGAAGTACGTATAGTTTAAATTTGTTTCCTATTATTCTTATTCAATATACTACAAAAATTATGAAATATTGCGTTGAATTTCTGACGTCAAATTATGAAAATTAAAATATTTGTTATATCCTAAGAAACTTTTGACAACCAACTTATGAACCTAATAAGTGTGTAAGTATATATTTGCATCAAATAATAAGCTTTTTCCTCGATGTTCTCAAACTAGTATAAGCAAAGTTTTTACTTCTTTGTTATCAAATGTAAATATATCAATATCAAATAAAATTGTAAATTGTCTCAAGAGCTCAGATAGTATTTTCCAAGTCGGTTATATTTTCAGTAAGATACACTTTTTATTATCAAAATATAATTATTTAATTGACAATATGCAATGGTGGGTAATTATGATGAAAATATGTACAACCTATATATTTAGTCGATGTAACAAAACTATACATAGATATATCATCATTCAACAATGAGTTCGACAGAAGGGTTTAACATTATTAACTGTAACTGTAAATAAATTACTACATAATTAAGATTTTCTGAAAAAAAAAGAAAAATAAAAAAATAGCAAAATAATATTTAATTTGTCTTACAATATAACATAGTGTGCTCTTGTACAATTTAGTGTGAATCATAATATATTTAGAAGTTATGAAAGCAATCAAAATATTTAATCGATAACAATTTTACCAGCATGTCAGAAATCACAAAATATGTAATAATACTTTACAAAGTCATATACACTATCAACTCTTATAGTTAGTGATTTTATTTATCTATTTGGATAATTTTAAACCCAAGCTGATTTCTGATTTAAATACTGAGATTAACCATAGATGAAGTATTGGTTAACTAATATCTCGGAGTAGTTTGATTTTGATTTATTTGAGAGTTAACAGCAGCTACTGCAACATTAGCAGCAGCATCGCGTACATGTTGATTGCGAAAGAATTCCGTGGTAAATTCCTGTTGGGCTTTTGCCAAACTTGCTCCAGTACTTCTATACATACGATGGATCTACAACAGAAAAAACAACTATAAAATAACAAATCTAAAAACAAAGACAACTAACTGTTTTTGTATATCAGGCTAGAAAAGTGAGCTCTGTCATACGATACATAAGCATAATAAATCGGCATAATGAATCGGCAAAATCATTACATATGTAAAATATTAGTAGGAGAGACAAAAGATATATTTTCTCTCTCGAAAATAAAAATGTTCCTTTTGTAAATATATTTAATATTCATTAATATTATTACTATTTTTCCATTCTGTTCAGATTTGTCTTGAGCCTCGTTAGGCATGTTAAATTATAAATTAAAACTTGTAAATATCTCAAGAAAGTTCAAATGTGTTCTTATATACACAAAAACACAAAAATTCTGTACCTCGGAGATAAAGGACACCATGTCCATTTTTATCGAAATTGGGATTATTGCACTTTTGAATATAACTTTTCTTGCTCTACACGTAAGTAGACCATACTATGTCCAGAGACAATTTTACGGCAAGTTAGCGACTTTTTAATAAACACCATGTCCACTTCCAGTCAGAGGTAAACAACACCATGTGGACTTGGTGTTGTTTACCTCTACTAAAGTGTATTTACTATTACTTACCATCTTGACATAGTGTTATGTACCCTGGTAAAAAAATGGATCCGATTTATCCCTAAGAAGTGATGCAGGCAATTCCAATGAACATAATGAAGTTATTTTAGAAGAAGTGAAAAGTGTCAAAAGAAAGGTACAAAATGTAACTAAGTGGAAACAAACCGGTAAAAAACGTATGGTGAATGAACAAAATTGGGCCTGTAATGTTCGCAAACGAAAACTAGCTGGTGGTAAAGAGTATCTCAGTAAAAGAGGCGAAAACATGCCTGCAAAAATGTTAAAGCCTCCTTGCATGTGTCGCATGACATGCTCTGAAAGATTATGAAAGACAAAATAATCTTCAACTCATACTGGATTGAGACAAACGTTTCAGATGTTAAAAAACAATTTACCTTTTCATGTGTCGACATCCAACCTACTCTTCGATTAAAAAAAAAGAGACTCAAACTCTACCAAATCTAAAACTATTACACTACACTACCATTTTACAGTGAACAATCACCGATTGAAGGTGTGCAAGGTTATGTTTTTAAACACACTTTGTATATCTAATTTAGTAGTAGTGAATATGTTGAAAAAAAAATGAGCCAGGAGATTTAATAAAAGCTGATTAAAGAGGAAGACACAGGGCAATCAATAAAACTCCTACCGAAACCATAAATAGTATACATCAACATATCAATTCCTTCCCAAGGTACGAGAGTCATTATTCCAGAGAAATGATCAAGAGAAATTATCTGGGCACAGAAATTACAATAGAAAAGATGTATCAACTGTACATTGATGAATGCATTGAAAGACATGTGGATCCAAAGCTAAGAGCAAAAAAGTGGTTGTACGCAGATACTTTTAATAAAGACTTTAAGTTGTCGTTTAAACCACCCGGAATAGACACTTGCGATACATGCAGTACATTCACCGCTCAATTGAAAAATAATCTTATTGCAGATGAACTGACCAGTGTACAGGCTGATCATGCTGCTCACCAATTAAATCTAAAACTCGGTATAACTTAAACCAATTGGACTTTATAATGGCTAAAGAGTTAACAAAACACAAAGTACTATCTGGTGATTTACAAAAATGTTTGCCTTCAGCACTAACAAACAACTGTATTAGTTTCTACAAAATGAAGCTTTGGACATTAAATTTTACATTATATGATGCCATTGATTCTTCTGTACAATCTATGATGTGGGATAAATTGAAAGGGGTCCGTGGTGCAAATGAAATTGCCTCGTCAATTTTGAAACGGGATGACAAAACAATTCCAGGTAGTCAAGTAGAGGACATCACTCTTTGGACCGATAACTGCTATGGACAATATGGGGTACTGCATACGTACTCTCAAATAAAGACTATCATTCAAAAGTTTTTACTGAAAGGCCACACACATATGAAAGCAAACAGTGTTCATGCTTTGATTGAAAGAAAACGAAACTCTCCGATTTGGCCATTTTAACACCATGGAACTGGCAACAGCTAATTAGATAAACATCAGGTAAATACACAGTGCTTAATATGGAACTTGCAGATTTCAAAACTTCAAAACGCTGTTCCATAAGAAACTGTCGCCTAACCCTACGTTTGTAAATAAAAAAAGAATATTAACAATGGGCCTGTTCTACTTTCTGGTTTAATTTGCAAAACTTTTTTGTTTATAAACATTTTTTTCAAGTTTTTAAAAACATGTTTATAAACATGTTTTTTAAAGTGTCGTCAAGAAAGTCGTCTTGTTGAAGGTTTTTATCCAGAAAGATATTTTTTCGGCTTTATTTCATGGGGTAATAAACTATAAACAGCTTTAAAAAATTTAATCTAATTTAATTATTTATTTTTAGTGTTCACTTGAATATCGTAGAGTAAGGACGTATTTCGCCGAGTGCGATAGCAAAAAGTGACCACCGATAAGAACAATTAAAATGTAATTATTAAAATTCTAGTTATTAAAATAAACAGTAAGGTGGCAGTGGCGTACCAAATTCTGTTTTCTACGATGAACAATTCGCACACAATGAACACAAACAATCAGTGTCTATTGTAGTATCAGCAGAAATTGCAGGTAAGCAGCAGGTTCACTATTAACAAACATTCAGGAACATGTACCCAACTCCCCAACAATATTCTCCACTAAAATACACATCCGAACATGCACCAAACCACATATTTATATTGGCAACCCACAAATACTCCTATAGCAAAGATTCCACAAAATCAATTCGCTCTTCCACCACAACCACAACCAATTTACTTCAACCCAAGCAACCCATCTACTGTAGGTTAGACCTCCAAAGCTAAAACTTGCAATTACACATTCAGAAAACTCGGATATAGAGTCTAGCGAAGACGACGATCAAGAAACCCAAAATAAAAACTCATGGCAAGTAGTCAAAAAACGTAAATTTTCAAAACAAAATAACGATCCCAATTCTCCAAGCTCACCACCAACAAAAATACAAAATCGATACAGTGAATTATCAAACGCCGAGAGTTCTGAGTAGACTGACACAGAAAAACGACAGAAAATACCAAAACCACCTCCAATAATTGTATATGGCGTAAAAAACTTTAAAGATATGGTCGATAACTTTGCACAAATTGTGGAGGAAGAAACCTACTATACCAGAACTCTGCCAATCGACACTGTCAAGATTACAACATATACAATAGATACATACCGTAAACTGATAAGACATTTACGAGAAGAAGAAATGATTCACCACACTTACCAACTAAAGGAAGAACGTGCATATAATGGTAATAAGACATATCCATTACTCTATACCCACAACAGATTATAACAAAGGAACTAGAAAAAGCCGGTCACAAAGTTCGCAATATAACTAACATTCGACACAGACAAACAAAGTAACCTTTATCTTTGTTTCTCATAGACCTTGAACCCAACAGTAACAACAAAGACATATTCAACCTAGAATTCTTATGTCACACCAAAATAGCAGTCAAGGCACCACATAAGAGAAACTCAATCATTCAATGCATGCCATGTCAAGCATACTGCCATAGTAAAACATATTGCACTAAACCGCATTACTGCGTCAAATGTGGAGGACAACATAATACAAAAATTTTTAAAAAACCTAAAAGCACTCCAGCTAAATGTGCACTATGCACACAAGATCGCCTTGCTAACTATAAGGGCTGCGTAGTATACAGGGAACTAGTAGAAAACAGACATATGCAGAAAAGAGGAAACCAACAGCCTCAAAGACCAACATTCAACAGCCCACATGTATGTACTGAAACAAATCAGCTAAATACCACTCTACAAAACCATCAAAGAACATATTGTGCAAACGTGACAGCACATCAAACCAACCACGAATCAGAACCTAAAACTAATACAGAACAATAACAATTAACATTCCTAAACAAGTTCAAAAACATGTTCTCGCAACTCATGAGTCAAAATAGTATGGTATTAAACTTACTAACACAAGTCATTAACCAAAGAAACTCTTAAACATACTTAGAGTTGCCACATGGAACGCTAATCGCCTGCTAAACCATAAGCAAGAAGTAATTACTTTTTTAAACTTGAATAAAATTGACGTTTTGCTTATTTCAGAAACTCACTTTACCGATCTAACTACGTTCAATATTTCGTGCTATACCACATACAGCACGCCTCATCCCGTTGGTACCATGGTGGCTCGGCGGTAATCATTCGCAGCTGCATATCACATCATGTATTGCCGAAATATGCAACAGAAAATATACAAGCAGCAATCGTTCAAGTAAATGCAACGCCACGACACTTTAACATATCTGCAATGTATAGCCCACCTTGTCACGCAATCTCCACAGATGAATAAAAAGCCTTCTTCCAATTACTTAGCAGCCAATTCGTAGCCGGGGGAGACTGAAATGCGAAACACATACACTGGGACTCAAGACTCACAACAACAAAAGGTCGTAATCTTCTAAAAGCAATGGCCGACAACAACTATTATTGCCACACCAACGGAATCCCTACGTACTGGCCGAGTGACTCCAGAAAACTTTCAGATCTGCTGGACTACTTCATAGGCAAAAGACTGCCCAAAAACAACTGTCTAATAGACTCCAGCTATGATCTCTCATCGGATCATACACCGGTTATTATGAGCCTGACCATAGATACAGCAGCTTAATACTTCACCACACTTGTGCAAAAAGCGGCATAGCAATCTACACCACGAACTGAGCGCAAACCAACACATACCACAAATGTTCCCTTGTACATTCGGCAACTCATTGCTGCAAAACGTCGTGCGAGGAGAACTTGGCAAAGATCTAGAAACAACATAGACCTACATATATTCAATAGACTTCGTAGGCAACTTCTTGAAGGCGGACGGCCGAGAAAACGGCCAACGGCGTAAGAATGCAGAAGGCAAC